GATCCTTAAGGGTCCCTTCCAACTCAGGATATTCTATGATTCTATGATTCTATGATTCCTTTTTTTGTTTCTGAGTTCCACGTCATGATAAGAAGCTGACAATCTTCAATGCTTATTTTAGAAACAGAACTGTACGGAAAGATGCATTAAAATTTATCCAAAGTCTGGTGGATTTGGTGGCAGATGGCATCACAAGGCAGGCATGTCTTGTATTATCTATAGATCCCAGTGCATTGATACCAGACAAAAAGCAAGATAAAGACATACAGAAAAATAATAAGGTACTGCAAGCCTAGATCTTGCTTGGAAAGACAGACAGTCTTTGACCTTAAAATGGGATGGCAGGAGTTGCACTTGTTCTACTTGCGTCTAACTGCTTTTCTTGGTCTTTAAAGTACTTACTTATCTCATGCTATGTGACTAAGGGGAAACGCACTGCACAACACATGACTACCTCAAGCACATACCATTCCAGTATGTCTGCCTTATGTTCCATTTCCATTCTTAGAGTGGTTTCGTAAGCAACTGTGTTATTCTCTGTAGTATTGCATTCTGTAGCAATGCATTGCTTCCCAGTTGTGAAGCTTTGCTGTCTTCTTTGGATGTGAAGAAACAAGCCGGTAATTTTCTTGTGATGGGTAGAGTCTTGATGATTTTAATTAAAATAATTAAATCCAGAGAGAGCAGCTGAATTAATCCGATTTAGGTTGTTATATCAGCGTATCTGTTTACATGGACATTCTATTATAATAATTTTTATTCTGGCTCTTCGACCATCTACACCAGGCTTACACTTGCTGTATGCTGAATAGTAAAGTGGTAAAGTAAATGAATTTCTTCTACTTTTTAAATTGCAATTGCTTCCCAATCAATAAAGAATTTGCTTAAAAAAATTAAAAAATGCACAGATGAACATTGACTTTTGTTGCTTCCCATTAGGTATATGAAATACTTATATCTTTACTCCTAATGACAAATCAATTTCATCATTTTAATGCAAGCTAAATCCTACTGGTTGAGAATGTTATTTTCCTGTTTTCAAGTTTGAACATCTTTTGTATTTGTCTTCCTTCACTGAGTGCAATTTGAACAAACCAATAATTATTTTGTTAGCACTGTACAGAATTTTCGTTGTCTATATTGCTATTTTAGTGGGAAGACTTGTCTGAAATTACTTAAATATTATGGGGGAATTATAGGAGAGGCATGGAGGAAATTATCTTTCACTCTGATAAATGTGTACTATAGTACACAAAATGCTGTGATAGAAACTTTGATGAGACCAATAATCTGTATAAGGGCCCTTTGTTATAGTGAAATACAACTTCCCAGCCTAATACCAAAAATAGCTAACGGGGAAAGCATTCTCAGAATCTACCTTGCATTATGTTTCATAGGGAGTTTCAATTCCTAGAATATAATTGCATTATAGGTTGGATAGTGAGCTTAAATTAGGATGTACATTCTTATAACAAGGAAATGTACTCTCTTAGTTTTGCTACTTTAATAATGCTATTTCAACGTGACTTTGTATAATATTGTTAATTCTGTTCTGTACATATCTGCCATTGGTTGCTACCAATACGATTTGTCAAAATTTCCTCCATACATGATGCATTTAAAGAAAAACTGTAGGGGAAATGCTGTTGATTTTTTTTTTTTTAATTTTAAATTGTGTTGTCTTTGTCTTCATAGCATAAATTTCTTCTTCCATATGTAAGTCAGATCCATTTCTAGACCAACATTCCAAGTACCATAACAGCAGGGCACTAGAAACATCCACATACCAAGTAAGGATGAGGAAGAAGGGTGGGGAACTGACAGAAGGATATATACTTTAAAAATCTTTTGTTTCGTTACTGGAAATGATGTGCTAGTTGTAAATAAGAGGTGTTACCAACTGCTGCACTTTATAAGGTGGGGTGGCTTACACAAATGACCTTGATCAAGAGCATGCAGTGAAGATGTCTCTCACTCCTGCACTGGCAGAGATGAGTTTCCTTCAGCAGAAGGGTGCTAGTGGGTGTGGAAAGCACTAAAGCTGTTTATGAGAAACTGGTTCAGAACAGTCCAATAATCTCCCAAATGCCAGCCAGGTAGGACCCATCATAGGCATACTCTGAATGTAGTACCAAATACAAATTGTATTTGCCCTCTAAAAGAAACAAAACTTTCAAAGAGCATTACTTTCAAACCATTCATCATCATGTTTGTGTCAAATGTTTGAATATTTTTGTTAGTATGACTTTTAGGAAATATAAAATTTCATGAAAAACATTGCAATTTTTCATTTCCAGCTCTAGTAAATAAAATTCCATTGGAAATGTACTGAATGGATTTTTGCCACTAGCATCTATTTCTTTTGTTTTCCCTCTGTGACATTTGTGGAATAGTGTACTACTATACACTTAGATTATTCTAAAATTCTCTGTATTTTTCCTTAAATACCTAATCTTTTTCCCTCTAAAAGGATGACCCCTACAATTTAAACTCATATAGCCTAAGGGGTTATACTCGGTAATATTATTTATGATGAATATATTTATGCTCAGATAAATATATAAATGTTTATTCAGGGTGGAAACTAATCAAATAACTAATAAAGAAAAAATAACCCCAGGTGTTTTAACAGAAAGCCAGGCAAAAAACTTCCAAGATTATTTTAGGAGGCACAAATGCAATGTTGTTTAGTAGAAATCAGGTTTTTATTTTTATTTTTTTGTGGCAATGTTAACTATTAGGGTCATAATTAGGGAAAAGAATTGGTGTTTTCAAATGGAATAGGAAAAAATAGATTTTAACAGAATTCCCATAGTACCTCACTAAAGAGATAGACAAAACAGTCAGACCAGACTAACAAGCACTTAGGGAAAAAAATTAATCAGCAGAAAGCAGGCTGCTTTGTCTCCTTAGCTATAGACATAATCAATGAATGCTCTTTTGTTTATCAATGGAAGTTGGGTATGGTTTGGTTAGGGAGATGATGAACTTCTTCAGAGACAGGACCTCTTGAGTCCTTCACAGGACTGTGATGGTTCATGCTCTTGCTAACCAGAGCAGCAAGACAACCTTTTGACCTGTGTACTAGTTTAATTTCTTTAAAAAAGAAATACAAGCAATTAAATGAGAGATGATGAGATTATTAACAATCAGTGAGATGCTTACCTGGAAAATGTGTCAGCAAGTGGTAAGAACAAAACAAGCCCAAACCCAACAACATAACAAAGTTACAACCCTGGATGTGTAGAAAATTAAAACTGGAGTGTGAGCTGCCCCAAAAGCTGTTTTGGAGAGTGTTTTATCTAACTTTTTACTAAATCCATTGCTGTAAATAAAGCTAAGCCTGGTATACTTTTTTCTCTATTCTAAATTTTATATCTAAATACTTCAGCTGAAGGTTTAAAAAACCTTTAAAAAAACCTTCTCGTTAGTTTTTTTTTTTTTTTTTTTTTTTTTTGGTAACGTGCAATGTTTTAAATCTGAAAAGAGGTTAGTTAAAACTGCATTTTAATTTCAGTAGGCAAATAGCTGTAACTTTCCAATTTTGATTCTTATATGTAGGCAGAAGGATCTAGAGCTAGATCAGTTATATCTGGCTGATTATTGCATGTTCTGAGCACATTCCTAAGGTTTCAGGCTGTAGATGGCCCTTTAGAAGGACTTTTATTTTCCCTAAGCTCTGTGATTATACAATAATATTTTTGATTTTGGAAAATATTTACCATTTAAGATAAATGAAATTTATCATGTTTTACAAATGAATTTAATGCTGGCGGATGAGTTTGACTGACAGTCCTATGGTCAGAATGCTCTATTTCACATCCCAGAACAGATATACCAGCAAGTAATGATGTGCTGTAACTTAAAAATTCATAGTGAAAATTCAGTGTCTTGCTTTATTAATACTAGTCAGGTATTACATCTGTTCTGCTAATGCAGCCAGTAAAGCACACGTCTCTCCTGTGATACGGTGACTTCTTTTTATTAAGGTGGAGATCTGTGTACATATAAAATGTGATTACATAAACAATTTGTATAGCTTTTGCCTGAAATTTCTGTAAAACGCACTTACTGCAGCTGGTAACCATAGCAACAGGCAAAGGAGGCTCGTTTAAATTTGTTAGTTCACTCTGGGAGAGGCTTTATATTTTGTTGTCTTTTCCTTCAGATAGGCCACATGCTGGTGTAGCATCCCCACACAATTTACATCTCACATAAATCAGGGCATTGGGAGGTACAGCATGTTCCTCTCATGTAAATCACGTACCTGCGTGCTCGGCTGTGGCACTTCCTGATTCCTCTGAGCTACATTGGTCATGTTTTGTGTGCGAGGCTGTAAAGATGATGTCATGAGCACTCGTACTTTATTTGTCCTACTTCCCTCTTCTAACATGTGTCTTGCTTATTTATTAAAAAATATTTTTTTAAAGGCATGCTCTAACTCAAGGTGAAAACATCAGGAAATGTGGGTGGACATAAAAAGTACAGTATCCTGCCAAGCTAGACAGCTTTATATATCAAAATACAGTTAGGTCTTTCAAGTTATTGCACAGAAGTGGAAGCCATACCAACATGCTGCACAGAGTAAATGTCATTAGCTGAAATAGGATGTCTGCTGAAATAGAAAACTAGTAAAGAGTATGTGTAGGGTAAGTTCTAATGGAAGAAGAGACTGAAAATAAGTGAACGATAGCTACATTCATCACAGACTTGTGTTGAACCTTATTCCTGGTAAGTATTTAGCTACTGAAAACAGCTGGTTCACAGCAAGAGAAAGATCTTCACAAAGCTGTTGTCCACCAGTGGTCCCTGTTATACTTGTAACTGTGGACAAGTAAACGGGACAGGCTCTGCAGGCTTTGAAGTTCCTACAAAATATGAGAAGCCATGATGATTACAGATGTTTTCTTTCTTGTGTGTAGGTTAGATTTGCATAAGCACTCAGCTGAAATAAATCACACCTGTAGCCAAATGACCCAAAGTCTTTATTTGGGTAAGGATTTAACAGCAACAGCAGACCTGAAGCAGCCATACCTTGTCTGTTCCTGTATGGCTCTGCTGTTTGCCTGCTAGAAACGAGCATCTGAGAACATCCCGCTGGATGCTGCCAGAGATGGTAATTCACTTAGGTATCTCATCTGCATACAATGCAATGAAAAGTAGCTTAAAATTAGGTAACAAAAAGGTACATTTACTACATATAAAGTCAGTCATATATGATCTTTCTGATTTTCCAAGAGTCTGTGGAAAGTTTCAGTTTCCCCCATCTGTCTCAAGTCCCTTCTTCTGCACCTACAACAGGGTATGGATGCTGCAGAAGCCTTGAAGTCTTTGCAATCTTAGTTTTCTCCTTAATTGTGATAACATTTAATCATAGTGCATTAGATTGATTTGATTTTTTTTTTTTTTATTACTGCTATCTGGTTAGGGGAAAAAACATCATAATGGCAACACAGAATGGTAACCAAAATATTATTCCGCAGAATTTGTGCTCTAGCAGATGTTTCTCTTACATAAGTGCTGCAATCAGTACAAAGAATAAGGAGCTACATGGCTTTTGTGCTGAAATGTGCATGGGAGGCTTTTTCATTTTATTAAAAAAAAAAAAAAAAAGTAGCCAAGTAGCCTGTGAGACTCAAATCCAACTCAGCACTGTGATTCAGAAGAGTGTCAGGTGAATGATTCCTCCTGGATGACCTTGCTCATTCATAAAAAGAACAGGAGTAATTTTCTTCTTCAATAGAAAATCTAGTGTTTTCCTAAAATTCATCTTGTGATTATGATATATGATCTATACTTTCCTGAAGCGAATTCATTGGAAGTCAAGTCTATATGACATTTCTCGAAAGAGTACAAATAGCACAAGCAGTTGTCCTGTACTCCATGCTAGCAAGTAGAAACTTGTAGCCAGCAGCTCAGCCATTTTGTTTCTGGTAGGTCTAGGTTCAACTCTCTCTTCTTTTAGTTTCTTTCTCTGCTGTTGCAGCATCTTTTCTACTCAAAAAGAGTAAGCCAGGAGCAATTTATTTCTTCTCTGTCTTTATCCTTTTAAACTTTCTACTTTAATGTTCCAACAAGCATGTTAGTCTTTTCAGATTTTTCCTGTACCTGATGTACCTAAATTATATTATCTGCCGCAGTGTTCTGAGCTATTTACACTTCGTGTTTTGTCACAGTTTCCTAGCAGATATGTGCATGACCTCTCTTCTCTAGGTGCACTACAGTCCACCATATACCATCTTGTGGCACACTGCACTTTCCCTATGTTCTTGGTTGTTATTTTGGTATTTTTCACTACCATTTGGAATTATTTTACCAACGTTAGGCTAAATCTTTCTCTGGAATTTAAGCATGTCAGTTTTTAATGGTCTCAATTATTGAACTATTCTTTGAGCTCTGGAATAATAAATATCTCTCTCATATTTCATTCACCATGTCACTCACCCCTGTGAAAATGTATTTAGGTCTCAGGGATGTGCTCCAAATACTTTCATGAATGTTAAGGCAAACAACTTATTCAGGCCTTCAGCAACACCAGCCTTATCTGTCACTATTAGTGTATTCATGTTCCTTAATGACCCCGTTGACTTCTTTTTTATTCTGGCTGCTTGCTTCTTTTTCATGTTTATCATTACTCATTTTGAAAAATGTCCTTTGTATTTGCATTTTGATGAATATTCTTATCATTCCTAAAGCACTCAACTAGCTGTGATCAAAACCAGCACTAACCAATTTTATTATCTTGTTAATATTACTTAAACAATCAGGTTTCTGGAACCAAGCTATCAGCTGTGCTGTTGTTTTTTTCTTTTATTATAGACATTACATTTTCTAAGTTTTTTATTTTTCAGTTCATTTCAGTACTATTTCTGTTATTCTCAGGTATGTGATCCGAATCACCAAAGACTCACATCCTTTAGAAGTACTGTTTCTTAAAAGTGTATTCTCAGATAATCCATACCATCAAAAAATCAGTAGCACATAATGGGCATCAGTGTTAGTACATTCTCCCCAGGAAATCCATCGTGGAGAAATTTAGATTTTTCTTTATATTTATGCAGAAAAATCACCATTACTTATCCTTGGAGTGTAGGGCTATATGAATAAAAGCTGATGGTCACATGAAGAAGCAGTTTCTAGGCTGTTAGATGTCTTTTACGATCACTTACTGTGTTTCTCATTTAAAAACAGGCTTGCTTTTAGCTGTGGTAGTGCACTGAAAGCATAGCACAGCTCGTTGCTAAGCAGAATGTGCACCTCAGTTCTACGACAAAGTGCAAGTAAAGTATCTGTGAGCTTTAACCTCCCCCAGACATGTATTAAATCAAAAATATAAGAGTTAAAATATAATTAAAAATTCTGAAATGAAGTCCTTTTTGTAGTCTTGGTGCCTGGATCTTTGCTTTGTGGTTTCTATAAAGGTTTATGTATTTTACCTCCTGAGGTGCTACAGTGCGAGTTTTGCTTAAGATAACAAATACTGGTATTGTGGCAAATGCCATTGAATGCAGCTGTTAGCATGCCAGTCACTTGCTGTATTATTTTCTCTTTCCAAAGAAAGCATTCATTTCCTCGTCATACAGCTTTCTTTTGAGGTTTTGATTGTTTGCATTACAGTTGGATCCCTAACTTCAGCTACTTAAAATAGACAAGACTGATAAAGGGGAAGTGAAGGGGTAAATGGCAAATCATAAACAGAGAGAGAGGGACAGTGGTTTTCCCAAGGTCACACAAAATGACTGTAGAAGAACTGGGATCAGTCTAATCATCCTTTATTCAGTCCCTATTTTCTGGACAAGAGCATTTTGGTATCAATACATGACACAAGTGTTTCTATCTGTGATGATTTTATTATCCATAAAGAATTAACATCTTACTGAAAAAAAAAAATTACTAAATTTTGTGACCGATTTACTTGCTTCTTTAAACTGAATTCAGCTTTGTCAACAGAAGCGTATGGACTTCTCACTACTTGTTTCAATGGATGAATTATTTGAAGTATTTGCCTGTATCAAATCCAAAATGGCTACCAATGGCAGTACCTTAAATAACCTGCTCTTTCAGTGCTCTGAAGTTATGCTCCAGGCCTCTTAATCTTATTCTAGTTTATGAAGATAGTTTGTAAATTGACTTTTTTTTTTTTTTTTTTTTTTTCCCATGTGGAAATTTTAAGTCTTCATCAGGAAAACAGAAACAAAAAAGGCATACATACATTTCAATGGTGTAGATAACTTCTTTTCTGGATAGCTTGACTTCCACATTAATGCCTATTAAACTTGCTTCAGCTGGGAAACATTACTTTATTTTGAAGTTCTGTCACATGCTTAATGTTTTGTCAGTAAGATTACTGCAATATCTCATGCCATCTGTCACATTCCCTTCTCTCAGCAGGGACTCTTTTCCAGTTTAAATTTATGAAGTCTAAACCCTTAACATGAAAGAGTACCATTCTTGGGCTTTTTGTTGCTTGGGCAGCAGGCTATGCTAAAGAAAAAGGAACGTTGTATAAGATTTTGGGGGGTTATTGGTTTTAAATTTGAACACAAAACTTTCTACAAATACCAGATAGTACAATAGTCTTTGACGTATTCTTGGTTTCTGGACTGCTGTTGTTGTTTGCCACAATACAATTTGTGTGTTCTGAAGAGCAGTTGCTGCCTTCCTTGTTCTTGCTTCTAAGAACTATTTCCACATGCAAATACTTTTTGAGAATGATATTCATGCAGTGCATGGGAGTTAAATTACAATACCAAGTGTACAGTGTCTGGCATGCGTGCTGCATAGTAATAGCTGATTCTGCCTAGTCTGCTGAAAAGACTGGCATCCCTACAAGTCACTGGATACTGCAGCTGCATTTCTGTGTGCTACAGAACTCTCTTGTAGGAGGTAGGAAACTGTCAAAATGCTTTGACAATTAACTTAAGAAGATGTTTAAGTCTTCACCCAAAATCTTTATGCTGGTGTAATGTAATTTCTACTGGCACAGGATAGTTAACCGAATATTCCTGGCCAAATTCCAGCTGAGATAAAATGTCATCAGACCTAAAACTTCCTTGCACAACCAGATTGAAAAAAGTGCTTCCTTCCAGTTTGGTGCAAACACATATTGCACCTATTGATGTAATAGCTGTCATCAGTGTTCTCTCATACTGCTATGAATCCAGCTAAGTTTTGGCATGTCATTCGTTTCTTAACACCCCTATATTCTTAACACCTCTTTATCCCCAAAAGGCAGTGGAGTATCAAGAATGTATCAGTCAAATTAAATACCTATGCTTCTGCTGCAATTCATTAAATATTCTTTCTGAAAACAAGTAATGTTTGCAAAACATTTCTTTAAGACACACTTTTGTGTAGATTTAAAAGCTAATAGATTTCTTTGTATACAAAAATATGAGGAATGAAATTATTTGGGAGTGAGAATCTTTCCCAAAGCTGGGCTAAGATCTTCATCTAGCAATTGGATTATAGTTAAGCAAGTGCATTTCTTCTGAAGGCTTTGACAAACATTGCACTGATTAATTTTGTTTGAATAACCCTTCTGTTATGTTTCAGTAATTCTGGAGTATTAGTGTGTGGGAACATTAGGAATCAAAACATGCTCCTTTTCCCCTAGCACTGGCTTCAATTCATGCCTTTCGTGTTTGTATCCAGGAATATCTTTGGAGGGTTTAAATAGCTGCAGTCTGAGCTCTGTGAATCACTGGAGGAGAAATGAAGACAAGCAAATGAATATTTAACAAACTTGTAGACTTGTAGCAGTGTGGAAACAATTTCACAGGTGTTTATTGTTGTGCCTTCAGCAGCTAGTGAGATATACATCAGTACTTACAATCTATTCTGCAAGGACTAATCAGAGTGTAACAAGGCTACTGTTTATTTCACTTAAAGTATTGTATTACTCAGTCCTTTGCATCCACCTGTAAACAGCTTTGTAAAACAAACCTTTTTTTTTTTTTTTTATAGCAAGTTATACAAATTCTGTTCATTTGCTTACTTATGTTGGAAGTGATTTCCTTGAGCATGAATTTTCCTGCAAAGCAGAATAAAACCCATGTTCATAACCAACAAATGTATTTTTGAAAATCCTGTGTTTTATTTTTGATTTATTTTTTAATGTATTGGAATG